GTAGAAGGTCACACAAGCGTACGGAAGCTCTCGAACATGTCTTTGGCCAACAATACGAGCTGATGGGCCATATCCACTTTGCCTGGTATGTTCTTATGCCGATACTATGGATTTCTGCCCTGCTTGGCCATGACTGTGCGTTGTAGAAGGTCTCACTTTTAGGAAGAAAAAAAGGTTATATTTTCAGAAGGCTATGAAAATTTTAATTTTAAGAACCCCCAATTTAAAAAACCCCAGACAGGCTGATAAATCAAATATTTACAAAATCAAAATACATTATATCCTTTGTGCATTACTTTAGGTGCGGAAATTAGATTGATCGCAATGACTAAATGGAACAGGCCTTCCTTATGGACAGGTATCATACCAGTGCTTCTAATGATCGTATTCTTATATTTTAACCTCGATATTCCGGAGCGCTTTACGCGCGGAGAGCTTGATTGCCCCGAATGTGCTGTCAGAAACGAAATCGGGACTCCTTTGGAAGGAATTTTCGACTTGTCTGACACATCGAATCCAATTACTAAGGAGCTCATGTTCACAGCTAAATACGATACACTGCCTTTGATCATGACTGCAACAAGTGTCCCATTTTACGAGATGACTCTGAATTGGTATATTTCCGTTAAAAATGCCGGAGTAAGAAACAGAGTTCTATTCGTGTGCCATGACACGATCATTATTGAGAAACTCCGTCCACATATGCGTACGGATGACATTCTGGCTCTCTACTCGCTTCCTTTTAGTGCTGTACCAGATTCTACGTATGGATCCAATGATTATGGACTTGTTGCGAGAGCGCGAACGAAAATGGTTTTTGATGTTGTCTCCAGGGAGATACCTTTGTGGTTTACGGATGTGGACATGGTGTGGAACAGAGACCCTTGGCCCTTCATCGCTGACTTGCAAAGCAAAGGACATGATATTGCGGTGTTAAGAGATGGAAACCACTTGTGTGCTGGATTCTTTGCGGTTATTAACTCAACTGCTGATGGTATCATCGACTTTTTTGGGGATTGGGATAAGGGGATGTCAGGAAAGAACTTAAACCAAGGGCTTTTTAACACTGTAGCTAAACAGCACAGTGAAATATCGCTTGGTTACCTTCCAGCGAACTTATTTCCGGATGGAAGGCAGTATTTTCACGACTTCGATGCCGACCAGAGGAAAGAAGTTGTCGTTGTGCATAATAATTTCATAAAAGGATATCAGAATAAGGTTGATCGTTTCAAATCACACAACTTGTGGATAATCTGAAGTTCAGAAATGGGTTTATTTTTATTTTTATTCTTTTTAAAAACAAGTAAATTAAATAAAAACAAATATTTGTATTTAAATGGCTACGCGTCCCCTTCGGACTGGGATGGTACCGCTGTTTCTAGGGTTTTTAGGGGTTTGGTATAAAATATAAACCTTTGCAGAAAGCTATGATTATAAAAACGAAGGGTTTAGGGTTTTTTTTGACACCGTTGTCTTAGTCTACTAAAGAGTCCCGAGCCTGGCCCTCGTGTCATAGAGTGACATGTGCCTCGAGTGTCCTCACTGTCCATAGTTAGGACTGTTTTGCAGGCATCGATGTTGCCGTCCGCTACTACAACCCCCCAGACGTAGGCACGGAGGGTATGAGTCTCAAAAAAAGGAGCGGAGTAAAAGGCCGGTCAGAATAAAAGACGTCGTGTCTTAAATTCGCCATGTCGGAAAAGGAGAAATCATAATGGGTTAAGTCATCACTTTTGTGACAAGACCTGTCAAGATTAGAAAAGTAAAATAAACCACACCGTATAGACTGTGTAGGTGTGGTAGAGTGCGTATGTAAAGTAGGAGTGTAGTTAGTGGGCTGTGGTGGTGAGACGGATCGCCTGTTGCTTGGCTTTCCAAGAGGCTATCTTGTTATCACGGTCCAAGCGGTTGTGTGCAAAGGAATAAGCCTTGCGCAGGGTGGAGTGTTGTGGAGGGATTCGTCACAAGATTGGCGTGTATCGAGAAGTGAGCTTCGTCATAGGAGAGAAATCATCGCCGCGCTTGCGTCCAGTGGCTCGCAGGAGAGTGTTCCACTTCTTAAAGGCGGTAGAACAGCCATATAAGAAGCGTGTAGCAGGCACACTAGTGCGGAACAGCGCCACGAGTTCGTCAAGATGGGCGAAATCAGGCTCATCAGCCAGTGGAGAGCTAAAGAAGAGCCAGCTGCCGAAGAAAGAAGCCGCGATGGCACCCATAGAGCGGAGTTCCGTTCGACCAATCGGCGGAAGATGTGCTTTGATATTCTTGATATGCACATGGAATTCCTTGTTCCGAGCCTTATTAAGAATATAATGCATGACCGGTGATGTACGCGCGAGGACCGTCGCAGGGCCAAGCCAAGCTAGCTTGTGCGTAAGAGGCTGCATAGGGGTGTATAGGACTTTGCGTCCTATCCCAATCATAGATGCATCGATGCGGTGCTTGTCAGCGTATTGTTTCTGTGCTGATCGGGCGGAAGCGACTGCTTGAACTGCGTCGATGTCGAGAGAAAGAGGCTCAGCGCGAAGGGAGAAAGTAGGTTGGTGGCAACTCAATACCCCTTCGATCAGACGGTCCGTGGGGTGTGGATAAACACGGCCAGTTTCGAGTGTGTAAGGACATGTCCGAATGGTGGTCGAGTATGTCGCGTTATAGTTGGCGAGGAAGCGGGGAAGTTCTTGCTTCCAGAGATGGTGTTCACTAGGCTAAACCCCTAACACCCTTATCGACCACGTAGGTGGTGACATGTCCGCGGAGGCACCAAGTGTGTGTTGCAGAAGCGGATAAGCACTGAAGCCAGCATGTCCGTGGATTTCAGTGGTTTGCTAAACGCACGTAGGGTGCAGCCACCTTGAGCAAGGAGAATATACCAGTAGGGATAATATTATTTATTTCAAAAATGACAAGTATGTATGTTACAATGTATGAACATATAGTATGGCTCTCATAGTCGCTGTAGTAGTTCAGCTAAGATTGATGGGAAGAAGTGGACAATAAATTCCCGTTTGAAGCTTGGGCCAAGTGAGTCGACAGTGGAAGATATGCGCTGAGTCAATTCGGGCCGGTGTTGACAAAACACTGTTACTATCGAATGTTCAATATATTCGCTTGCTGACCTACTAAGTAGAGTAACCAACTCTGTGGTACGGATCGGATCTGTACCGTTTAGTGCCGCAAAATGTGTTAGTTCAGAGTAAGAAATACCGAGAAGGACCAGGTTATCAGTCATGATCCGGTCGATAAGCAAGGATGGGGGAAAGCCAACAACGTACCAGACCACGGATGAATTCGGTATGTGTTGGCTGGCCACAGACATTTTTGAGCGCTTCCGTACGCTTGTGAGACCTTCTACAACGCACAGTCATGGCCAAGCAGGGCAGAAATTCATCTTAACGGT